CCATCAACTGGTCAACCGTCTGCAGGGCCACGGCCAGAAACAGGCGTGGCGTAATACTGTCACTGTCGCCAAACCCCAAATCTCACACACCCGGCCATAGGCGGGGGCACCCCTTCGACTTCATCAATCCGGCGATCCAACACCACGCGATCAACGCTCAACGATCCGCAATGCTCCTCACCTGGAGCAGTAGCGTCAAAAGTAATTCCAGTAAACACAGACAACAACGGCGAAACTCCTTCCGACTCCGCAGCGCAACAACCTCTCATCGATCAAAATGCCGACACGGCTGCACCGTCTGACGAGGCTGCAGGTCCGTTACGGCACAAGGATCACGATTCCGGGGATGCTGCTGCAACAGTCCATCCTGAGCGCGGCGGCAACAGGTGGGCGAAAGAGTTCCACTTCGAGTGCAAGAGGGGCGATGGAACGGTGATGGAGGTGCTCCATAAGCTCGCGCCGCTCTCGGAGAGAGCGAGACCGGTCTTCGCTGCGATGAAGTGGCCCAGTCAGATGCGATGAAGTCAGACTCGGACACGTCGGATGACGGGGCGCGGTTCAACAAGTGTGGTAGCTGTGGCATGAGGAGCCACCGCAAGAAAGGCTGTCCCCACGGCAATGACAGGTGCTCTAAGTGCCGCCGGAAAGGGCACTGGGCAAGGATGTGCCCGAGGCACTACCTCACCGACGAGGACTCAGGATTGAAGGCATTCGTGGGGGTAGGAGAAGGCAAAGCGATGCTGAATGTCCGTGGAGCTAGAACCAGGACCGACTACCTAAAGGCGGTGCAAAAGTTCGTAAACAAGGCACTGAGCGCCGACAAGAAAAAGAAGGGCTGGACCCGGGAGAGGACGTCGACATGCCAGTGGCCGCAGTCGAGAAGGTAGTGCGGAGTGACGGTCCAGGGGGCGCGAAACGTCGGAGTGAGCCGACAGAGGACATGACGCCGGAGTCACGAGTCGCGGGAACCGTGACTGGAGAGTCGAGAGACGGCCGAAATTCTCGGTAAGGGCCCTCGTGAAGGGGGTAGAGATTGAGTTCCAGCAGGATACAGGCGCAGGGGTAAGCCTGTTGACGAGAGAGAATTGCAGTCGCGCTAGCGTAAGAGTGTCGCAGCGCCGACAGCAAGTAAGCACAGTGCTGGATTCAGGGTCACTACCCGTGACGGACCCGGTACCGGTAACAGTGCACGGCGAGACGGACGAAGTAGAGTTCGCGGTGCATGACCAACCATCGGTCCCGAACCTCCTGGGGAGGGTAGAATTGGAACGATTTGGTTTGATTGAGAGAAGGTCCGGGAAGACGTTGGTCCTGGCGACCCAGAGAGGCGCAGTTGATGAGATACGGCTTGCGAAGAAGTACAAAGAGCAGCCACCAGTAGTAAAGGAGCAGTCGGAGGATCCCTTCGACAGGCAGCGGCAGGTATTCGTGGAGGGCACGGGACGCCTGGACCAGAGCCTGAGGGATGAGCTGTGGAATCTGTTGGTCGCATACAAAGACGTATGGGCCCAAAGGTTGGCTTGCGTCAAGGCGCGTTTCGAGGCGAGTGGCAAGCCGTACAAAGCGAGGTTGAGACATCTCGAGCCTGAGCTGCGGGCCGAGTTGGAGAAGCAAATGGAGAAGCAGCTGAAGCTTGGAGTCATCCGTCCTTCGAAAAGTGAGTGGGTCGACCGCGCCGCACTTCGTGAAGAAGAAGACGGGCGAGTGGAGGTGCGTTTCGGATTACCGGAGGGTGAATCAAAGCAGGACGGCCGACTCGTATCCGCTGCCCCGAATATGGGACCACTTGAGGGCCGCAGCAGGCCGTCAGCACTTCACGACTCTCGATATGAACTCGGGATTCTGGAATGTGGCGATAGCGGAGGAGAGCAAGCATCTCACCGCGTTCATCACACCGTTTGGGCTGTTCGAGTTCAATGTCATCCCCTTCGGGATTAAGAACTCGCCGGCGGAGTTCCAGCACGCGATGGACATGGTGTTCGAGAAGGTGCTGGACGATCGCACTCTGTTACATTGATGATATCTTCATCGCGACGGACACGGTGCCGGAGATGATGCAGCGGTTGGAGAAGGTCTTGCGACTGTGCAGAGAGAGAGGCTTCTATCTCAGGCTAGATAAGAGCGAGTGGCTCAAGCCCGATGTAAAGTACCTCGGTCACAAGATTGGGCGGCAAGGGATA